TAAAATGCATAATGCATATGTCATCACTAACGAAAAAAAGAAATCAAACCAATTATTCCAAAAAGCTCATAATTGTGTGCATTTAAAATAAAGGCAAGTAAAATTATTACACAATCCCTCGCAATAATTTTTCTGCTCTACTGAATTGATGAAACTGTGCATACATAACTACGCTTCGAATATTAAAAGCCTGAATTTAGAAGTAAATAGGCTTTGAATTCTGTTACTGAATTAATTATTGTATAGTAAAACAATAAATATGATAGCAACTTAATAAAAAAAATAATATACTAATACCAGAGTAAGTAGTGAAGAAAAAATAATCTTTATTGAAATGATCACAAATTAACTTTTATAAAAACAATATCAATCATGGTTAAAAAATATATTGAAAACAAGGCGCTTTGATCATTTCAGTCCAGTCCAGCAAGTATAGCAACAGTACTAAATAGATACATATTATAGAGCAGCCTTTAACCCCTTAAGGACACATGATGGAAATATTCCGTCATGATTCCCTTTTATTCCAGAAGTTGTGTCCTTAAGGGGTTAAAGGGACACTATAGACAACCAGACCACTTCATCTCAATGAAGGGGTCTGGGTGAAGTGTCCCAAGTTCCCTTAGCCCTGTAATATATAACATTGCAGTTTCAGAGAACTCAGGTTAGGACTGCCTCTAGTGGATGTCTCTTAGACAGCCACTAGAGGTCCTTCCAGCATTTACACTGATTTTAACTACATTAAATGATGCTGGATGTCCTCACGCTTTGCATGGATGTCCAGCATCTTCAATTCTCCCAATCAATGCTTTCCTATGGGGAAATAGCTGACGCTGGATGTCCTCATGCAGAATGTTACCGGACTAAAAGGTCAGTTAGGATCCAGGAATCACCTCTGTTAGGATCCAGGAATAACCTCCAGTGGTTGCAATGTTTTACATTGCAGCACTAAGTACAATAGGAACACTGTACCCAGAACACTGCAATGAGCTGAAGTGGTCTGGGTACCTATAGCGTCCCTTTAATTTGTAAAAGTGTCAATTTCTATTTACATATTCTTCATAATAAAGCTCTTCTGCAAAATAAGTGCCAACTCCCATCACCTTTAGTCCTGCAAGTGTAATTATTGCAGTTTTTATAAACTGCGATAATTACCTTGCAGGGATAAATCCTCCTCTAGTGGCTGTCTACCAGACAGCCACTAGAGGGACTTCCGGGTTCTTAGATGACTTTTGGTCATGTAAACGACGCTGGACGTCCTCACTAGTGATGTCGCTGGCGAATAGTTCCTGGCGAACATAGCGTGTTCGGTCCGCCCCCTATTAATTTACTAATACTAAGTAAAAATTACTTAGTATTAGTAAATTGTGCCCCTACTCGCAATACCGCGAGTAGGGGCATGTCTATTAAACAGTGAGCAGCCTGTGGCTGCTCACTGTTTTAAAAAAAAACAAGGGTAGGGGGGGACCTATTGTCCTCCCCCCGGCCCCCACCCCTGAGCGGTGGGTGGGGGCCCTAAAAATACCAATAAGGGGCCTATTGTCCCCTCCCAGCCCCCACCCCTGAGCGGTGGGTGGGGGCCCTAAAATGAACAATAAGGGGGGAACCTATTGTCCCCCCCCGGCCCCCACCCCTGAGCGGTGGGTGGGGGCCCTAAAATGAACAATAAGGGGAGGACCTATTGTCCCCCCCGCCCCCACCCCTGCGCGGCGGGTGGGGGCCATATTGATAATGAGGGGGGGGGACCTAATGCCCCCCCCCCGGCCCCCACCCCTGCGCGGTGGGGGCCATATTGATAATGGGGGAGGACCTACTGCCCACCCCGGCCCCCACCCCTGCACGGCGGGTGGTGGCCATATTGATAATGAGGGGGGGACCTACTGCCCCCCCCGTTCCCCACCCCTGCGCGGCGGGTGGGGGCCAAATTGATAATGAGGGGAGACCTACTGCCCCCCCCCGGCTCCCACCCCTGGGCGGCGGGTGGGAGCCATAAAGATAATGAGGGGGGGACACACCTACTGTCCTCCCCCCCGGCCCCCACCCCTGGGCGGCGGCTGGGGGCCACAAAGATAATGAGGGGGGGACCTACTATCCTCCCCCCCGGCCCCCACCCCTGGGCGGCGGGTGGGGGCCACAAAGATAATGGGGGGGCCCTAAGTAAATTCCCCCCCCCAAGGTGACATGGGGTCCCCAAGCCCCTAGTCACCCCCCCAAATAAAAAGTCCCTACCTACCCCCCTCACCCTAAAAAATAGGTGAGGGGGGAATAAAATAACTAACCTGTAAAATAAAAGTAAACTTACCATTCGACGTCTTCTTTTTTTCTCAAATCTTCATTTTTCAGCCCCCAAAAAGTCAGTAGGTCCCCCCCCCTCATTATCTTTGTGGCCCCCACCCATCGCCCAGGGGTGGGGGCCAGGGGGGGAGGACAGTAGGTCACCCCCCCTCATTAGTCTTTATAGCCCCCACCCGCCGCCCAGGGGTGGGGGCCGGGGGGGGAGGACAGTAGGTCCCCCCCTCATTATCTTTATGGCCCCCGCCCGCCGCCCAGGGGTGGGGGCTGGAGGGGGGGTGGACAGTAGGTCCCACACCCCATTATCAATATGGCCCCCACCCGCTGCGCAGGGGTGGGGGCCGGGGGGGGCAGTAGGTCCCCCCCTCATTATCAATATGGCCCCCACCCGCCGCGCAGGGGTGGGGGCCGGGGGGTGGGCAGTAGGTCCCCCCCCCTCATTGTCAATATGGCCCCCACCCGCCGCGCAGGGGTGGGGGCGGGGGGGACAATAGGTCCCCCCCTTATTTTTCATTTTAGGGCCCCAACCCACCCCTCAGGGGTGGGGGCCGGGGGGGACAATAGGTCCCCCCTTATTTTTCATTTTAGGGCCCCCACCCACCGCTCAGGGGTGGGGGCCAGGGGGGGACAATAGGTCCCCCCCTTATTGTTATTAGGGCCGCGGGGGGGGACAATAGGTCCCCCCCTTATTGTTATTAGGGCCCCCACCCACCACTCATTATCTTTATGGCCCCCACCCGCCGCCCAGGTCTCCTCCCCCCCCTTCAACCAGTAAGAGTCCCTGTGGAAGTTCTCGAAAATTCACGTTCGCGACATCACTAGTCCTCACGCTATACACGAGGACCTCCAGAGTCGCCGGAATCCCCATAGGAAAGCATTGAATAATGCTTTCCTATGGTAAGGTCTAAGGCGTGCGGCCATTGCTGCGCATGCACATTAGGTCTCCCCACCGGTGGACGTTGGTGGGGGAGGAGCGTGGGCAGAGCCTGACCCAGCTCTGAGGGACATTGTCGCTGGATTCAGGTAAGAGTTTAAAAGGGTTTTAACCCTTCCAGCGACGTGGGATGGGGCGAGAGAGAGGGGGGCACTGCAGGATTCTCTAGTGCCAGGAAAATGGGATTGTTTTCCTGGCACTAGAGAATCCCTTTAAGTAGCAACAGTTGGAAACTATTTGTCACTTCTGGTGAAATTGTAGTAGCAGTAGTAGTTGTAGCTCTTAAACCGTCACTAATTGTGAAAAGCAGCAACAGACACTGAAACAAGTAGTAAATGGCTGACCAGTAAAATGGAGCAACAACAAGCCTATAGTCTTTAGGAAAGCAGCATGCACAGAAATCCTTTGCTTTAAAATATTTAATTGTTTATTTCCTAAAAAGTGCAATATTTTAGCATTTTGATGTCTTTCCTTCCAAATACAAATTAAACTGTAATTGTCTCCTCTGGTATTAAAGGACCACTACAGTGCCAGGAAAACATACATGCCCCCACTCTCAGGGTCCCCTCCCGCCGGGCTGAAGGGGGAGGAAGGGGTTAATCCCTTTCCTTTTTTCCAGCGACGGGCTCCCTCTGCACTGGGGAATCTCCTCCTTCTTCTGCTGTCATCGGCTGAATGCGCATGCGCGGCCAGAGCCGCGCGTGCATTCAGCCAGTCCATAGGAAAGCATTCTCAATGCTTTCCTATGGACGCTGGCGTCTTCTCACTGTGAAAATCAATGTGTCAATGAGACAGCCACTAGAGGCTGGATTAACCCATTTGTAAACATAGCAGTTTCTCTGAAACTGCTATGTTTATAGCAGGCAGGGTTAATCCTAGATGGACCTGGCACCCAGACCACTTCATTAAGCTGAAGTGCTCTGGGTGCCTATAGTGGTCCTTTAAAGTTACACATAGATAACTAAAAATACAAATATGCAAACCAATATTCAAACTTCCTTCCTCAACATCTCCAACAAACATGAAAATGTCAGCTGGAAATTGTGAACTTGCAATGAAATTCTATGCCGAATAGTCAAATTGTAAATATTCTTAAATCCAGCTATTTTTCTGGTTCAGTAATTTTGGCCTATACTGTGCAATTCCCTTGTCAGTTTTCTGGAGTTTTAGCTGATCTTTACTCCTATTACAGTCTGAATCTGAGTAAACACAGCTTCCACTGACTAAAGTGGAACAAAGATTGTAACTAGGCCAGTGATAATTATATTTTCAGATATTAAAACCTCACCAGTAATTTATTCTTTATGAGCTATTTATGTGAAGCCCTAATTTTTGACTTATATAGATAGAAATAACTAAAATGAAGTCAGAAAGACGATGGAGATTAAAGGGATATTATGGGATAGACACCGTTACAATTAAAGTTGTTTTTTTACTAGCTCATTCTTTTTAGAATACCTTTTTACACGTGTTTAACTTTTAGGCTACCACAAGATCAGTCAGTCACACACATATCTAACAAGCGCCTCAAACAGATTTTCTGTTTTTTTTTCAGATCAACAGCAAATCTCTAGTGACAGAACTTCTGGGCATGCATGCCGAGTGGGCCCATCAGGTGACCCAATCAGTAAGGGCCACCCGATGGCAAAGTAATCTCATGGGGCTGGTCAGTGCTGCCGTTCTTTAGTAGCGCGACCAGGCACCTTTAATGATGTCAACGCTGGGAACCCTAGTCAAATTCTTGCACTGGGGCCCTGTGTACTACTGCCACTGAGTCTCTCATACAGATAATTATTAAATTTGGCATTCGTTTTCGGACAAACACGAAAAATTTCAGAAACTCGATGCCCCCTGTGGGAGAGTTGAAATCGGCGCTGGAAGCAACTTTGGGGTTAAGCCATTCGAGAATGGTTTAACCCCTTGAGGTAATGGGGCCTCCTGGCAACATAACAACTTCATTTAAATTAAGATGTTATCGTGTCAGGATTGTTCCATTAAAAATGTGTTGTTAATGTTGTGGCTGATCAATGGAAATAGTTCACTGATCAGCCACTTAAATAGTTCACTGATCAGTACTTTAAATAGTTAAACACACAGGTAGATGCCAACACTTTCATTCACTCCTTTACTATCTCTTTTAACTCATGCTCAATGACCATCCTTAGTGTTTAAAGGAGCACTATAGGGCCAGGAGCACAAACATGTATTCCTGAACCTATAGGGTTAAAACCACCATCTAGCCCCCCTGTCACCCTCATGCCTCCCTAAAAATAGTAAAATCTTACTTGTATTCAAGCCTGAAGCTGCATGCTTTGTCCCTGTTTCCTTTAGACATGCCCACTGCCTGCTGGCATCAGCAGAAGTGGTGGCCTGATCCAATCACAATGCTTCCCCATAGGATTGGCTGAGACTGACAAAGAGGCAGATCAGGGGCAGAGCCAGCACAATTCAAATACAGCCTTGGCCAATCAGCATCTCCTCATAGAGATGAATTGAATCAATACATCTCTATGAGGAAAGTTTAGTGTCTTCATGCAGAGGGTGGAGACACTGAATGTTTGGATGCATTTTAGGCAGCCATGACCCAGGAAAGATCTCTAACAGCCATCTAAGGAGTGTCCAGTGAAGTTATCACTAGGCTGTAATGTAAACACTGTAAAGACAGTGTTTACAGCAAAAACACTGAAGGTAATAATTCTACTCACCAGAATAAATTCAATAAGCTGTAGTTGTGCTGGTGACTAAAGTGTCCCTTTAATAGGAAAGCAAAGGGGTGAAGAGCTGTCCAGTAACACCTGGAGGTTGTTGGACATACTCTTATATTCCAGCACATGCTATCTACACTATTTTGAATGAAGAATTATAGTTAGGTCTGGACATAGCAACAGTTTGGTACATTCCAAATCAACAGTTTGGTACATTCTGTGGGGGGAAAAAAGAATGTATTGGTGAGCTCTGCAACACATCCATGAAACACAACAGTGGTAGATGATCATAGGCTCCTTTCCATGGTAAGATCCAGCCAAGTGAAGGACACTCTCCAGGAGGTAAACATCAAAATCCAAATCTACCATAAAGAGAATACTTCACAAGAGCAAATATTTTTGTTCAACCCCTTGAATTAAAGCTAATGTCTGCAATTCACTTGCATCTCTGTTGTTTCATTTCAAATCCATTGTGATGGCACACAGAGTCAAAATAATGATAATTGTGTTAATGTCCAAATATTTCTGGACTGAAACATGTGCAGAAAAGGATTTTGCGAAATATCAATCTCAATACTGCGCTGTTGTTTCAGAATGCTGGCACTAAACTTTATCTTCCTAATACTGGATTTGATGAAAGAGATCACATAGTCTCCCCCATCAAGGTACCACCCTACGTATACCCAGTTGGCCTACACTTACATACATTCCTGCTTACAACATCTTTCATAAGTGTGGCGGACTACCTGGTACTCCGATTGGGTACCTCCGCCAAGCTTGCTTTCTAGCTGGAACTGGGAGCACTTCAGCCCCCAGTCCCGGATCTTGACTGGGGCTTATCTGGAGTATCCCATGTTGGAACAGGGTCCTGTGCTACTGGTCCAAGTGATCAAGCTCTCCTGCAGAGTGTACAGCTGTATAGCTGTCTCACCCAAACACTAGCCAAGTCTTAGTGAAGGGTGAAGTAGAACTGGTTTTATTGAACACCACACAGATATATATATATATATATGAGTAATCACAACAGGGGGTCTTCAAACAAAACAATACAAGTCAGTCCCTGGAGTCTTGGTGTCTAGGACAGAATTAGGCCAAAAGTCCATAATTGAATAACCTGCCTGACACCAAAATTGAAATCAATTGCACAATAGCTATTGTATAATAAACAAATTATCTTCCCTTCTGTTTTACTTTCTATACACACAGACACGCTAACACAATTATCTTCCATAGTAAATTATACTCCTAAAATACGTATAATACTATACAGCAGATGAAAGGGATCTCTGGAACAATGCCCTTCTGGGAAAACAAAAAGGAATGGGAGGGGGGCAGGAGAATAACTAAAAACAAATACACTACACACCACTGTACCTATAATGGGCACAGGGTGACTAAAACATAGGAGTAATCTGGGGACCTACATAAAGTGTCCATCTTCAGTCCCCAGTGATGGTGACAAGAGCCACAATGAGATTATAATTTCTTTGAGATTATATGAGAATAACTTCTACATCATGAAAATCCTGTGAGATTATGTGAGTAGTAGTTACATTGTAGAAGAGCAAGATAAAATTCTATCCAAAACATTGGAGAATTAATAATGTTTTATAAAAATAATAATTTATTTAGGGTTTATATGCAAGAAGACCAGAGGTAGCAGCAAATTATAACACTGCAGAAGACCTGTCTGGCATACATCGAATAGATGCGAAAAGCCTAAAATTCTTGGACAGGTCTGTAGCCTGGGGAAGAAGAGAGTTAAACATTGAAATGCAGAATTCTACACACACACACAAAAAAATGCATTTGGTATTTATGACAAGATCTGTTAAGTATGACTCCAGTGACAAATGCCACCCATATTATAGAGAACTTTTTCTGTAAAGATTAAACTTTTTTACTTATCTATGTGTGTCTCAATTCATCATTTCGTGCTTTACATAATATGTGTAGATGTATGGTATATCCTTTCATTGCCAATGTCCTTGAATGTGGAAGCAGCATTACCTTATCTTACTTGCCAATGTAGTCATTTTTCAAGAAACTTATATCGAACTTAAAAATGGGAACTTTATAGTTGACTGATAAAGATGTCAGCAATCCAGGTATATTGGTAAAAGAGATTTCTTTCATGCTATTTCTTGTTGTCAAGTTGTACATATTAGACTTGTCTGGTGTTTTTTGACATTAAAGGAACACTTCAGATCCATAAAGCACTTTAGCTTGCTGAATGCTTTATGTGTGAAGCAGGACCGGTGCAACCATAAGGCGGCACAGGCAGCTGCCTAGGGCGTACTGGCCCTAGGGGCACAATCTCTTTTTGACCGACAGGAGGGGAGGTCACATCACAGTGCCCCCCTCCTGCCAGTCACTTCTTACTGAGAGCAACAAACAGCTTCCTGCAAGACCGGGTAGAGGATACAGACCATCCGCTACCACAGCCCGCCCGGCCATGCTACATGGAGGTATGCAGGAGGAAAACGGGAACAGACCACAAAGGGATTGGGTGAGTGGAAAAGACACACACAAAAAGAGGCTGGAAGGGAATGTAAGAGAGACAGAAATAGAAACAGATCGGGCTTGGGTGAGGAAGAGACACACAGAGAGGCTGTGGGGAAGAGAAGGAGACACCCTTGGCGGGGATCTGAGAGAAGGTAAAGAATAAGACACACATGAAGTGGCTGGGGAGATAAGGAGACACGCTGAGAAGCTAGGGGAGTAAGAGACACGCAGAGAGGCTGGGAAGGGGGTAGAGAGACACACAGAGGGGCTGTGGGTAAAGAAATACAGAGTGGGGCTGGGGAAAATAGATAGAGAGGGTGTGAAGAGAAAGAGGCACACAAAAGGGCTTGACTGGGAGAAAGATACATACAGATGGGATGGGGAAAAAGAGACACATGGGCTAGGAAAGGAAAAATAGAGACACACAAATGTGATGGGGGAGAGAAACACAGAGGCGCTGTGGGGCAGAGAGAAGGTGCTGGGGGAAGAGACAAAGAGGGGACAGAAAAGAGAGACAGAGACCCACAAAATGGGAAAGGGGAAGAGATACACAAAAGGAACTTGGGGAAGAAAGAGACACAAAGAAATGCTGGATAAGGGGAACAAGAGACACGCAGAGGGGCTGTGAGGATAGAGACACAGAGCAGCGGGTGGAATGAGACACACAAAGGGTCTTGCGGCTGAGAAAGAAACGCACAGATGGATTGGGGAGAGGGAAAAAGATACACACAGGTGGCTGGGAGGGGCAGAGACAAGGTGCTGGGGGAAGTGGCATACAAAGGGGCTAAGAAAGGGGAGAAAGACACGCAAAAGGAGCTGGGGGAACAGAAGTACAGAGGAGCTGGAGAAGGGAAAAAAGAGACTTACAAGGGGGCTTGGAGCAAGTAAGAGACACACAAAGGGGATGTTAGAGACTCACAGAGGGTAAAATGGGAGATAAAATATACTAAAATAGATAAGAATAGTAAGTGGTACCGGTGTAGCGCTTATGTGCAAAATTGAATATGAAAGGAAGTTTTACCCAATTTTCTTCTATGTTAGTCAATTATTTCTTGTTAACCTTAAGGTAAAACAGAGAAAAAATACATAACATAGTGCAGATTGTATGTAAATATATAAAAATTGATTTAAAACAAAAGCCAAATGGCAACTCACAATTTTCTGAGCTATAAATCTAGCTCAGAATTTTGGTGCTTTAGGATCCGTATAGGCGACCCTCTCCCTTCTTCTCCTTTCTTTAGTCCAGTCCTATATGGATACAGGAGGGGGTATATAGTGTAGTATAGTTGATGTTATTATGGGTATATAAAAGTGATAAATGAGGTACTCACAAACCCAGAGCCAGTCTATAGGCTCACTTCAGTGCGCATATGTGGTTTTAGGACCACACTCCTTCTTTATATTATATAACAGCTGTTTCCACACAGGAAGAAAGGTATTTAAAGCAGGAAAAGAAGTCCAAGGATACATCACTGAATTTAACCAGCTGAAGAAGCCACCTGGCGAAACGCGTTCTGGGAAGAAAAGTGAGCACTGAAAACTCCTTTTTTTGGACTTTACTGGACTCTACTAAGCCTTATAAGTGTTTTATTTATTTTTTATATATATTTCTAATAGAATTTTTTATAATGTGTACAAATTTTTTATAATAAATATACATACATTTTGATACACTTATGGCTTTTTTCCTGCTAATATAAAGAAGGAGTGTGGTCCTAAAACCACATATGCGCACTGAAGTGAGCCTATAGACTGGCTCTGGGTTTGTGAGTACCTCATTTATTACTTTTACACACCCATAATAACATCAACTATACTACACTATATACCCCCTCCTGTATCCATATAGGACTGGACTAAAGAAAGGAGAAGAAGGGAGAGGGTCGCCTATACGGATCCTAAAGCATCAAAATTCTGAGCTAGATTTATAGCTCAGAAAATTGTGAGTTGCCA